AGATCCTTCTGCTGCCATGGATGCCAAAGGGCACAGATCAGTTTGGGTAAAATCTGGGCCTGTCTCCTTAGTTTCATGCTGCAATTTTTGGGAGAAATAACAACATAAAGGCAGATCTGCCCTGTCCACCGAGATGTGTATGGAGAATCTCTGTGTAGGGTTCAACTTTTTTGTTATGTTCGTGTCCAAGCAAGGGACTAATATGCCCAGGCACCACCACAGTGCATTAGATAACAATCTCTCTCTCTTTGTAGGTACCATATCCAAATCAGATGTTGGTGACTATGGTCTTCCACAGATCTCTTTTCTTTGAGGCTTACAGAGTTTCCAGTGTTGATGCATTCATCCGTTTAGATAGACTCTTGACATAAGTCAACATCTATCTTCCACAGTCTCTTCTTCCTTCAGTCTTTCCAGTTACAACCAGACTTTCAATTTCCTCTTTCCTTGTAATGTGTCCAAGAAACTCCAACCGTCTCTTTCTGATGTTAATCAGCAGCTTCCTCCTGCAGCCTGCTCGTAACCAAATATCTTCATTTGCAGTGTGACTTGTCCAACATACCATCAAGATGCACATTAAGAACCACATCTTGATTGCTTCAATTCTCTTTCCATGCTTGGCGATTATTGTCCAGCACTCTGATACATACGTAAGGACTGGTATAACATAGCAATCCAAAACTCTTAACTTTTTCCCCGTAGAAATTTTTCTATTTGTCAATATCTTTTTCATTTCCAGAAATATGTCTTTTTCCATTCCTATTCTCTGTTTTATTTCATGATCACATTTACCATCTGATGTTATCCGGCTTCCCAAATAGTTAAATTTATTGACCTGATTTATCTGTTCCTTTTCCACTTTGATGTTGCATACTGGAATAACAATAGATTGGGGCAGACAATTATAATTTCATAATTTCTAGGGTCAGAAGGGACCTGAACAGATCATCAAGTCTGACCCCCTGCCCTGGGCAGGAATGAGTGTTGGGATCATAATACCCTAGCCAGATATCTATCCAACCTCCTCTCGAAGACCCCTAAGCTAGGGGAGAGCACCACCTCCCTTGGGAGCTTATTCCAGAGCCTGGCAGCCCTAACTGTTAAGTAGTGTCTCCTGATATCAAGCCTGAACCTACTCTCAATCAATTTGTGGCCATTATTCCTTGTTATCCCAGGTGGTGCCCGGGGGAACAGAGCCTCTGAATTATTTCAGATGGAGGGCTGCTTAATGAGGTTTGGTGAGCTTTTGAGAGCTGCATGGGTAGCCCTGCCCCTTGACAGTTACCCCGCCTCCTGGTCACCATCTTGGGACCAGAAGTCCTGCCCCTAACCCCTGACCTTTGCCACCTGAAGTCCCTCCCTTTGCCCCATGGAATACTCCTTTTGGGCTGGGGGGTGGTTGCCATCTTATAACCAGAAATAAACCATGTTGTACACTAAAAGTCAAATGCCTACTATAATATATTTTAATTTTATTACAAAAAATATTTTTGTCATGATTTGTTTGTATATTTTATATAGAGGTGATTGCAAAATAACTCAAATAAATTCTTAGTCTTGAATATGTGAGGGGTGTGGAGGCATGTCTGGGGGGTGTGTGTGTGTATGGTGAGGTGTGTGGGTGGGTGTGTGTGTATGGTGGGGTGTGGGGGGGTGTGTGTGTCTATGGTGGGGTGTGGAGGGTTTGTGGGGGTGTGTGGCTGTGTGTGGGGAGATAGGGTATGTTGGGGTTGTATATATGTGGGGGCAGGGTGTGGATGTGTGGTGTTTGTGGGGGGAGTATGGGGATCTGTGCAGCAGGGGATGGGGAAGGCAGCTGACTCCAGTGTGTGGGCTTTTCATCTTGTGCTGCATGAGTGTGGGACTGTATGTGCGTGGTGCTGGCAATAGAGATGGCCTGTCGGGGCCTGTGCTCCTTGCTGCAATGTGGAGTGCTGGCTGGAGCTGCACACTGCTGGGCACCAGCACCCCAAGTGCCGGTACCTGCTGTTGCTCCTGCTGTCGCTGCTGCCTGCTGGGGCTCCACACCATGAGGGGAGTGTGGTAGGGGAGGGGATCCTCACACCCTACCACCTTCCCTCACACCCACACGCTACCCACCCGAGCTCCGTGTTGCCGCTGCCACCTCCCTGGGTGCAGGCTCTGCGCTGCCACAAGTCCAAGCCCACACCCTCCACTCTTGCCCATCTGCTATTCCATCCCCACCCCCATCGCTTCTCTACCTGCTGCTAGGAGTGAGCAGGATGCCAGGGAAGCTGAGCAGGTCCCCAGTGGAGTGAGCAGGATGCCAGGGAAGCTGAGCAGGCCCCCAGTTGCTGCAGCAGCCCCGCCTGGAAGCTGCTTGCTGGCTGTGCTGGACCGTTCTGTCCATGAGGGTGTGAGTGAGGCACAGTAGGGTATGTTGGGGGCATATGTATATGTGGGTGCCTTGCTTCCACCCTTGTGGATGGAAGGGCTGGACGAGGTACAATTCATTGGTGAGTGCCGTGGGCTGACTGAAAGTGCCTGACAGGCCAAATCCGGCCTGCAGGCCATATTTTGCCTGCCCCTGCAATAGATTAATGTAAATTAAGGATCTGACATTTTGTTCTAGATAAGACTTTTGACAACAAAGTCCCATGTGACCTTCTCATAAACACACTGGAGAAATATGGAGTAGACAAAACTACTAAAAGGTAGATAGACAACTGGCTTAATGGCCCCAAGCAGGAGTAGGCAACCATTGATCCTCTGGATCATGGTGTACACGTAAGAGGTCTAGTCAGATGAATCCATTTGCGGTTGCAAGCTCAATTTGACAGCGAGACAGCTTGTTACAAGTTTCATAGATCCATATGTTGTCTGAGTTGGAGTCCAAGCATACAGCACGCTGTTTTCTTCTTTCTCGCTTTACTTCCAAACTCTGGATCAAAGCTGCTTCATGTAGAGCTGCACCCAGAGCCAGATGTTCCCTCCAGATCAGACAGGATTTCACATGCTTCTCCCAGTTTTCTATGTTGATGTTGAAAGACTTCCTATAATATTTGCATGCATCATGGTGCTATGATAGAGGGTGACCCCACTTTGTAGAGCCATCTCGAATCTCACAATACAAAATATTCTTGGAGATAAGGTCTCCTCCCATTCTCTTGACATGGCAGATGCATCACAAACATCCTCTTCTTGATAGTGGTTTCCAAGTGTGTCAGTCCTGCACACTCCAGTACCTCTGTGTTTGGTAATTTATCTTCCCACTTTATTTTCAGGATCTTACACAGACATCTCATGTCATTGGAGACATATAGGGGGTGCACGCAGATGCACATGCACCCCCTGAGATCAGCTGTGCATCCCCTGGTAGTACCAGCTGCGAAACCGGAAGTGCACTTTTGGCAATCGGCCACTGGGGGACCCTTCCAACCCCGTCAACATTGGCCACTGGTGGCCCCCGCCCCGACTTGGGAGGCATCAGTTGCCCATGTGTCATGTGAAATCTGTTCAGTCTTTTGATGTGTCTAATCTCAAGCAAAGGATAATTATAAATATATCCATGTCAGAATGGAAGAAGGTTTTGAGTGGAGTCCAGCAGGGGTCTGTCCTTTTCAACATTATTAATGTTATGGATACTTAGAATAGGGAGCTTCTTGAGCAAGTTTGCAGACAGCATGAAACTGGGAAAGATTACAGACACGTTGAAGGGCAGGAGTGCAATTCAGAAGGATCTTGACAGATGGAAAGCTGGGCTGGAGCTCTGCACTGATTAGGCCCCTCAAGAGTATTGTGTGCAGTTTTGGGCTTCACTTTTGAAAAAGGATATAGAAAAAGGATATGGGTCCAGAAACAGGCGACAAAAAATATATGAGAAGTTGAGGGTTGAGGCATGTTCAGCTTGTGAAAAAGGCGCTCAGAGGGGATGTGATAGCAGCTTTCAAAAATGTGAAGGGCTGCCATGAAGGAGAGGGAGAACACTTTTTTTTCTGAACAACACTTTTTTTTTTTTTTTTTTGCCAGAGAGAGCAGGACACGAACCAATGGCTTAAAGCTGCAGCAAAGTAGTTTTAGATTGGGTATCAGGAAAAAGCTTCTTCCTTGCAAGAACAGAGAGGCAGGAGACTAGACTGTGTGGAGGAGCTGTGAAATCTCCATCACTGGAGGTGTTTTTTAGAAGAGGTCAGAGAAGCTTTGGGTAGGGATGATTTACCGCAGCGGTTCCCAAACTGTGGGTCACAACATCAGCGGATAGGGTCATGGGGGTGGGGGGCTGTGGGTTGGGAGTGAGGGACCATGCTGAAGAAATGGCCCATAAATCGGGTGATACCGAGGAACACTTTGGGAAGCAGGGCTCCAGGGGTAGCTGTGCCTACGACATGGGTATTTCCCATGGTTCTGGGCTGTGTTGGCCGTCACACGGGGCTGCAAAGGAACTCCCCTCCTGCCCCCCCTCCCCCCTTATGTGCCAGGCTTTTGGGGGGGTTTTCTTCCTTAAAGCATTAGCTGTTAGCTGCAGGCCTTGGACTGCGGGGTGCACCAGTCCTCCTGCTGAGCCTGACACCTGGAGCGTCCTGGCTGGAGGCTCTTGCCCGTCTGCTCAGGGGCTGCCCTCCGGGCACGTGTGGAGGCAGGAAGGAATTTGACCCCACGATAAGGTTGGGGGGGGGGTGTTGCCT